AGTTATTACAGAGATTCATCAAGTAGTTGAGGCTGGAAGGCCCTACTGGAGAACAACTAGATCAATCTCCTGCTGAAAGCAGGACCAGTCAGACCAGAGTTCTTACAGCCGTGTCCACTCAGGCTTTGAATATCTTAAATGATAGAGATGTTACGAAATATTTAGTAAGATGCAACAGTGCCTTGAGGCACACAAGCACTAAGTACGTTTTCTTTCTTGTTACTGAATGGCTGGTTTCCGCCCGAACAGAAAACTCACTCTTTCCTATCCATAACAGCTACATTGATCTTCAATGAACAAATCTCAAGTCTCTGTGGATATAAGAGAAAACATTTCTAATTTTGTCTGAAAGCCACTTCTGAACTCCAGACAGCATCCTGAATGCATCACCTAGGGATGGCAAGAATTGTGCATACTTCTCAGAGAAGGAAAGCGTTTGCCAGTGACAAAAACAAGGTTCCAAAATAAAGTTATTCCAAAGAAATTCTTCTACAAGTACAATGGGAGTTTATGAGGTCTTGTTTTGCCATGGAGTACAGTAAACAAAGCATTATAAACTTTCCATAGGTATTAGCCAAAGCTACACTCAGCCACTTCAAGGATGAATTACTTGAATGAATCAGTAAGGCAAGGAAGCTCCCAGAGTCTCTTGAGAGGCCTTTGCAGATGCACCTCAGGTGATCCATAACATCAGTAGCATATTCACCAAACCCTGACTAATATTTCAGAGAACAATTCTCTCATTTGGAATAATACAGATTGCAGCTTGTAGGTGTGAAATGTTTTCTAATAGCATCCACACTGAGTACACAACCAGAATCCCAAGAGCTTAGATTGTTCTCGTATCCTGACCACCTCCTTGAAGTCTGATTTGTGGCACATTATTGTCTTGTCTCCTGGGCAGCAAGGGCAAAATGGAAATGTCACATCCTTTGAAATGAAACACATCATCCACACAAGAAATTGCTCTTCTGACTCACATGGAGCAGAAAACTAAATTATGACCTTTACTCTCATCTGTTTCTCCTGCATCATGCTCTTCTGTGTAGGCTGGTACATCGTTGTCAGTAATTTTCCATTCAAGAACTGCAAAGATGATGATTTCTTCTGTCTTCTCCCATGATAACTTTCAGGCTGAAACCTGAAATCATACTATTACAATATGGGCAGAATACAAAAAGAAATACAGACATACACAAAAGAAAATGATTTCTCCAACAAAAACAAGAAGTGATAGGATGTGTTCAATTTGCAATTTCATCCTTTTTTCTGAAATTTAGACCCGAATACCTGGTAGTAGTAAATTTTTTTTTTTCTCAGTACTTTAAGAGTAGTTATTCCGTGATCATTATTAGCTATTTCTTTTCTTTACATGCTTTTTCTTTTGTAACTGACTCTTGTTTATATGATATGGACACTTCTAGTACAAGACAAAAGGAAAAGTGGGAAAAAAATAGATGATTTCAAATTAATCAAGATATACTAAATTTTAGACTCTTACTATCATACAATTATTACAGAGCTAGTGGAATTCTCTTTTAAGATGTAGATTTTTAAAACGTGTATTCATTTTTGTGCAAGTATAAAAAGTATATATTTGCAGCACCTCAGCTGCTAATTGTTCCCAATTATAAATGGGTATGTAACATTTTTAAATTGTCTGCTAATCCACGGGGGATGTAGGTGAGTCCACTGCAATTCTTGATCTTCATTATCTGGGTGGTAAAAGTCACACCAGAAATTCATAGAAGACAATTATATAGCAATTGTTTTGTACTGAGGGCCATCTGATCTCCCTGAAAATACCTGCATGTTACATATGTTGCATATTAAGTTTAGAATAAATTGAGGCTAGTAATCTTTCCTATCTCTCATTCAGAAAGACACTCAACAATGCATTTGTTTTGGAAATAAATCATATATTTGCCATTACAGAATTCTTATCCTCTTTTTTTCCACAAGTATGAATGTCTTGAGAAGCCATCTACTCATCCAGATGGGATCTAGCTCTTAGCTGGGAGAAAATGTTATTTCCACTATGAGCTAAAGAGACCAAAACAGGAACAAAGTCTCTGCACTCTACAGAAAGATCTGTATCACAAATCTTCAAATCTTGTTATTTTACATGAGATTTCACAGACCCGTTTTCTTTCAAATGAAGAAATTATTATGAGACTAGTGAAAGGAAGACATGCTGCATGGGTGACAGGTGGCATCCTGGCCTGTATCAAAAACTGTTGCTAGGTGGAACAGGGAGGTGATCATCACCCTGTACTCAGCTCTGGCAAGTCATCACTCAAGTACTGCGTACAGTTTGGGCCTCTCACTACAAAAATACATCAAGGCCCTGGAGTGTCAGGAGAAGGGCAACAAAGCTGATGAGTGTCCTGGAGCACAAGTCTTACGGGGAGCAGCCAAGGGAACTGGGATCATTTAGTGTGCAGAAAAGGAGGCTCAGAGGAGACCTTTTCGTTCCCTACAGCTACTTGGAAAAGGTCGTGGTGAAGTGAGGGTCAGCCTCTTCTCCACTGTAAATAGCAGAAGGACTAGAAGGAATGGCTTCAAGTTGTACCAGGAGGGGTCCAGTTTGGGTACTAGGAAAAACTTGTTCTGGAACAGAAACAGGCTGCCTAGGGAGGTGGTGAGGTCTCTAGAGGTGCTCAAGAAATGTTTAGATAATATACTAAGGGATGTGATTTGGTGGGGAAATATTGGCAGTAGGTGGATAGTTCGACTACATAATCTTGAAAGTGTTTTCCAGCCTGATGACAGAGGTAAAGTCATCACAGTTACATAGTCATTCTGAGTTCTTCTAATTTACAAAAATCCAAGTTCAGATTTAAAATCTTAATATTTAAAAGCCTTTAATATTGGCTTAATGAAAACTGTGCATGTTTTAGTATTGATTTTAGTGTAAGAAGTTTATAAAACTTCTTAATAGGATAGGAACTTTGAAAGGAAAGTCAAGATACACCAGATGGCGTTTGGATTAGCTGTCCTAAACAATTTTTTATTGTTATTTGGTTGATATCATGAATTTCAACAGTTATAACTAGTGGATAATTCTTTACTTTTGTACAACAATACTGCTTCTGGAGTTTTGAGCTGCCTGAAGGCTACGAGAAGCAGACTCTGTAAGAATAAAACAGCATATCTTAGAAAGAAAAAGTATCTATGTATCAAATTTTAGAGACAGAAGTTCATCTTAGCAAAAACTTCTGTAAAGTAGACTTTTTTTTGTATCAAACATAGTTCTTCTGTCACACAAGGGTGGAAAAGAATCAAAAATACAATGCAGAGAGAAAAATCTCGATTAATTAGTCCAGAACATTCAAAATATTCAAAGGACAGACAGTGATATAATGAAGATGCTTCACAGGAGAAGGCGTAGATGATGATTCCCTTCTACAATTAATCTTTTTCAACATTCCTCCCAACTTCAACTTAATGTGTCTTTGGCAGTCCATACTTACTCCAGGGTATCCTGGTGTCCATGTTGGTGTCCATGCACCAACCTTGGCTTAGATAAAAACATCCAAAATGTCTGTCCCTAAAACTGGGCAGAAGTAACTCTGCCACCTCCATCTCAACAGTGTTGATAAGAAGTACAAATTTGTCAAATCTGAAGTTTTGGTGATTTCGGCCACATGCCAATCTGAAATAAATGCAGCCTGGGGTCAAACTGTCCAACTATGGTAAATCCTAGGGAAAAAGGCATTGCTCTGATCAGGAAGGTTTCATTAAAACCTGTTGACTAATGGTGTTTACACTTTTACTTATACCTAAGATTTTCCTTATAACTTTTATGAAACATTCAAGAAATCAAGCATGAATGTAAGTTCAGTTATGAGAAATACACAGGAAGCTAAAAACCTGCCAATTTTGACTAAAGGATCAGGCCCAGTGGTTTTACAAATGTAGCTAACAAATCCTGAAGCAAACATCTGTGGTATAAAGTAGAAAGGACTGGGATGGGAGAAAGAGGAAAGAATTAATAAAAATACAAAAGCAAGATAATTAGATACATTCATACAGACAGATGTGTTCCCTCTTCTGTTCACAAATGCTAAATATAGTTCGAATATTCATTTGAAAATCAAATTTATCTTGTCTATAAAAAAAGTCCCAAACTACTTTTGATTGGGAAAACATCTATTACGTTAATTAAAATTTGTGGTGTTTTGAGTACTGGTATTAATTAAAAAATCCATTTTCCATACCTAGAAGCTCTGAAAACAATGTTTTACCATGGAAATATTAACACAATGCAAAACACAATAGGACCAGTTCTGCTTTTAGACATAAATGATTCATGCTGCAGTGAGTCACAGTTCTGCATAAGGGAATTGCTTTCCTGGCTCCATCACTGCTCAGTTTATATCCTAAAACATTATACTTGACTGTTCACTGTTATATTACCTTGCATAACTAAGGTTATTTTTGAAGACTACCAAATAACCTACAAAGCCATTTTGTTTGTTGTTTTGTGCTGCAAATATAGGTAGCAATGTCGTACTTCATCAGTAGTGTCTCGTTGTAGTTAAGAAGATTAGGTCAGTGTGCCATGTGGTTAACCTCAAATTCCCTCAAGGAAAACACTTCTTTATAGTAAATATATCTATAAGGCTGTAATTACTTGGCCTTAAATTTTTAAAGCCTTAAATACTTCAGAGTATTTCAGCTGTACTTCCTTATGCTTATTTGTTATTTCTTGCGGTTTATTGAGAGTTAATTGCCTGATGCTGTGCAGACATAAAGATACTGACCAAAGAATTAACTTTTTTTTGTGAAGTTCCCTCTTTTGTGCAACAGAATATTGATTGTGATTTTGAGTTTTCATATAATCTGTAACTTAAACTGAACTGGGAATCTGTATACAATTTTCCATGATGACCACATGCAAGCAGCTACACAAAAGGCATTTATTTCAAGCTGATAAATAACTTGTACTGTCATGAGCTGGAAAACAAGGAATTCAAATGCCATAATCCCATGCTGTCCCACAGCTACAAAGAAAGATAGCTTGTATCAGACTCACTTCCAAGCAAAAATTTAGATTAAATTTCAAGGCTACAGCTGATTTCTAGTCATTATTCTCCCTGATCTCAAGGCAAAAGTCAATAGAGTTAGATGAAGGAAAGAGCTTGCCAAACCATTTGCAATTTAAGTCATTTTCAGTATCGCAAAGGCACGCTGGAATAACTTGCTGCTAACCAGGTCCTTCTCTGAATGGTCAGAATGAACAGTTACTTGTTTGCTGATGTACCATCTTTGCTTCAGAGTTTTCTATGTGCAACACCAGGAGTTCAATATTGTTTCAACCTAGTGACTGGGCATTTTGCCAGAAAAGGAAAACCACAGTGATTTGTATGATATGTAGTAGTTTACGGAAATACAGTCATGCCTTTATAAACAATATGCAATATGACAGTCATGGTTGTTCACTGGTTCCTGTTCATCATTAGAATTAGTAGGAAAAACTGCTGAGGAGAAAAGTTGCCACGTGGTGGATTATCTGTTCCTTGAAATCCTGAAATAAATGAATTTACTTTTCTTAGCATTTAGACCTTTCTTTAAGGGGGGAAAAAAAAAAAAAAAAAAAAAAAAGAGAAGTTTCAGGCAGCCAAATGCGTCAGGCAGATGTGGCTGGAGAAAGTACCTGTGGTGCCAGCTGGATTTGTACTAGCATTCTTGGAGAGACAGAGGACACAAATGGCTGCTTTGAATTTAATATATCTTATTTCCTGCCTGCTGGTGTTACTTATGAGACATTGCTGTCCACTCTGCTATGCCCTCCAAATGCCTTTTTTTCTCCTTTCAGTTTTTTTTCTTCTTCTTTAATATGGACTTTTCATGAAATTAAATAATAAATTGTTGCCTTAAACACTTGGCTCCAGTTATTTTGGTTCTTAACCAAAGACAGAAAGCAGTTCATGGTAAAGAGTAAAGGCAAGTGGCTAACACATTTTAAAATATATTTTTGGCAATGAAGAAATTGTGAAATAGGTTTTTACTTTTTTTTTTTTTCTGAAATAAAGCTTTTCATTAGAGCTATTATAATGTTTCTGTCACCACTACTCTTATGCAGCTTGTTTGCAGCTCACATCATAATTATATAATGTAAGACCTCTGGTGACATATTTCACAGATTATCCAAAAAATTATTTACACAAACCAGCAAGCTTCAAGGTAAAACTGGTGGACTTTAGTCTTATTTAGGTGTCAAAAACTCTGCCCAACCATCCCAGCGTGATTTAACACTGCTGCCAAAATGCACTGGAGATAACCAGAGCATAGTATTCAAATGGTTCTTTATATAACCACATATATTAGAGTATGAGGCTTCCCAGTTTAGTGTGTTCGTATGCAAGTATTTGTACATATTTAGGCTCACATACATGATCATATGTGTTTTGGATGTGTGCCTTTTTTGGTATATTTTAGATACTATTTACTTCCTAACAGATAAATTGTGCATATAGTTTAAGTTCATAGTTTTATAGTTTGAAAACTGTAATTTGAGTGCTAGAAAGTGACTGATGAACCCAATATTTAATTTCATCATTTAAGTTGTTTTACAGCAAGGAAAAATATAGCTGGTGAAGTTTATATACATGTATATGCTTCATAAAATAATGGAACCTCAGTGCCCTGCCCTACACAGCCACATCCTCATTACTGCATGATCCTCACCACAACCAACTCAAGGTTCCTATCTATGTTTTCCTGGTCTGACAGCCAAGGAAGAAATAGCATGTACTGTGACTTGGAGAAAATTGCAGGTATTGCAACTGACCAGCAGCTCTCTGTGAGTTGACTGCCTGGCTGATTGTTGTTCCTTGGCTGCTGGATGAGCCTAAGCAGAGCAACTCAACTTTGATGGATGAAACAGGTCTTCACCCTGAATTATGTCCCTGGGCAACATTTTGTGCAAGCCAATTGAAAGAGCTTAACATCTTTGAAACCTCAGTGTCTTCATCAAATTTTGCTGAAACTGTCTACATTTGGGCACTTAATGGCATGCAATATTGCTCAAGGACGCAATGAACAAGCTGGTGCAGCAAAGAAAAAAAGTCTTTCTTCAAAGAGAGACAGTTCTAAACACAAAGGCAGTAAGGAAGGACATGCAGAAATATAGTCACATGGCTTCAATAATTTGGAGGAGCGACAAAAGCGTATAGAAAATTCCCCAGGCCTCAGTCAACATCCTCCCTGGTGTGCAGACTCCATGGATTGATTGCAACAGTAAGTCAGAATTGAATGGGTAGATTCAGCCTTCAAGTTAAAAAATGATCACCTAAATTTGCAGTTAATAGTTGCACATTTGGTTATTATTTCTTGACTCTGCTTGTGCAAAGCTGACAGGAGTTCACTCAAATTTACAGTGAGAAGTAGTAAAACCCTTTGGAAAGTGTATCCCATCCCAAATATTTCATAGTGAAGTTTATGGATTTTTTGCCCTCTTTTCTTACATAACACCACTGGCATTTGACAAGGGGATTTACTTCATGAACTTTTTAATTTTACTTTGAAATGCATTTACTTTGGTATACATTCTCTGATACGTACCCTCACACATATGCAGATGAATGCACAAAAGGTGAAAATACTTAAGTTATTTAGATATCCAGTTTATTTGAGAACCTGCTGTAACTTCGTAGGTACAAATTAGATAGATTCAAGATTTCTGTGTATTTTTTCTGTCAGATTATACAGGTCTCCAAAATCTAATTTTTGTGTGATTTTTAACATACACATTGCCTTTAGGTTACTGGGAGAACAGAACCATAAAGCACTATCTCAGCAGTCCTTTCACGTATATTTCAGTCTATATGCCAAATAAACACATTTTTTTCTTTTGTTTTTCTAGTGTACCAATTTTCACACAGCTGAAATCCCAATCATCTGAAAATTTTATGTACAGAAATATGCTATTAAAAGGAATTCAGAAAGCACTTGCAAAAAATGTTTCCCTATCATGAGCAACCAATTCATACTTGTAACAGCAGACTTTGAAAACCAGGAGTGAAATCAAAGAATAATAAACAATAAATTATCTTCAGAGAGCAGCATATCCAAACCTGCTGTTGTGATAACAGTGCTGAAAGTTTGTACTAGTTTTGACATCAGAAATAGACAGCAGTCAATTTTTGTATTAATAACTTCTTATTAGGATGCTTAAACTGTATGCTAATATTTTTTATCCAAATTTCAAATGACAGGCTTTTTTGTGGTTGCTTTTTTGTTGTTTGTTTTGTAATTACACTTCAAAAAACAGAAACTGAAAAGAAATATGTAAACTGCCTAACATACCGATTAATCCTTCAGAGAATATCCTATGATTACTGCTCCTTTGGAAGAGTAGTCTGCTGATCTTTGTAGGTGTCTCTGAAAGTAAATACTCTGAAAGATTTCCATGGAAGCTACAAGAGATAAAAAGAGCACAGAAACAATTTGACAGAGCAAATTCCCAGATACAAAGCACTATTTTTCAGCATAATCACCACCATTAGCTATGCATTTTCACCAGTGATGAACAAGAACCTGTGTGCCATGCTTGTAATTATATAGATGTATAGAAAACTTGTCTTTCACAGCGCTGTCACCGAAGTTGAAAGGCACCACCCACTGCCTCACTGTGCCTCACATCCACTGATTGGCCTCCACAAACATTCAGCAAATGTCAACGAGTGTTAGTGGGTGCCATTTTTTCCTCATGGAAGTATTCAGTGACACAGTTTTTCTTCATATGCACTTCTATGTCAGATGCCGTTGTGTCAGACTGCCCCTCTGCTGCCATCTGTCACATGGCAACAAAATGTAATGCGATACTAGGGGGAAGATTCAATCTCTACTGTCATATCACCAACATCTGGATTAAAACATCATGGGCCAAGATACTAAAACGACAGGCACAGCTTTCAGAGCAGCCCTTATACAGTCAGATCAGTTCAGTTCCTAAGTGATAGTATTTAGACCTCTTTAATATGCAAAAGAAGGATAAAAGCAAATAAACAGTTTTACAGCACTGGTTTCTGACCTTTTCATAGCCTGAGGAATAAAAATGGTAATTGTGTAACCATCTGCTATAAAAGAAAGGCATCACTCTACACTAAAGCTTTGTCAGGTAAACACTGTTATCATGTTTTGGGTCTTGCTTTCATTACAGTGAAGACATAGTTATTAGAAACGCCTTTTTATTCCCATCTGATTTTTCTGACCTACTCGGTAATTTAAAAGTAATTTTTCCTTGATAACATTTCTGAAGACAGTGAATTACACAGAATTTGTATTCCTATTAGCAATAGTAAATTAGTAAAGTTTCTTTCAAAATAGTAGGATCAAGGTAACAACCAAGTACATTTACACTTAAAACTCTTAATTTATATTATTTAATGCCACATACAAATTGCTTAAAGCTATAACATCAAAAACGTTAAATGTAAAGCCACTTCTTAAGTACATTTGCTAAAATGTGCTGAATAATTACTGAATTCTATTCACTATATTTAAGTGATTCTGTCAATCATTCCAGTTACAATTAACCTGATAAAATTATCTACAAACTTACACATAAGTCTGCAGTGATTGTACAATATACTTCACCAAATAAGAGATCTAAGCATCTGTGTTCCTGTGAAACACCCTATGATTCTCTTTGAAACAACCAGTAGTGACATTCATGGCTTTTATGGGTTCAGAAAGTGTCTTTCATAAAAAACCCTTGATGTTGTACACATCATCCTACTGGATGTGGAAGACCATATACAACTGTTGAGTATTTTTGTAGATCTCCTGAATGGCTTATGGGGAAATTACTTTTTGATGTGTAGTTTGATACTGGATATATGTATCAGGAAAGAAAGAGTGAAGAGAACTCATCACCTTCTCCATCTCTTCAGTCTATCTGAGCTAATCATTAAGTAAGCAGAATAGAGTAGAATCCCCTTTTCAGCATTTTACTGCTTATAGCTTTAACTGAAATTTTGAAAACAAGATCATAAAGTATAAATATGCACATAAAAACAAAGTTACATTCCTAACACTGTTATGGATGCACAACCAAGCTCTTACAGGACTTGGATGTTGCAGAGCATATAGACATCTGACAGACTGTAAATCCAGAATATTATACGTTATGTTAACACATGTACATAATGTGAAATAACTGATTTCATAACACAGTGGTGTTTCATAAACAGCAGAATAAAAGTTGTTAAACACATTTTCCCTCAAAAAAAAAAAAAACTGCAACATTTTTGCAATTCATCAGAGTTTCAAGAAGTAAGCCTGAGTAGAAATTACTAAAAAAAATAAAAATAAAAAAAAATGGAGACAAAACGAGATTTCTTCTGTTTCATTGCTAGCCTTTTACTCATAAATACAAACAGCTTCAATGAAAAGTTTATCAGAATAAAGACTTCAAGACAGGAACATAAAAGATCTTGAGTAGTAAGGAATGCTATTAGCACAAGATTGATAAACATGACTGATCTTGTGTAGTTACACAAAGTCTCTTCTGTAAACTGGATTAATCATTGTCATGAATGTTAGTATGTACATGTTTTTAAAATAGTAAATGATTTTTCTTTGGCCAGAAAAATGCAGTATTTGTAAAGGCTTTGAAGAACCCCTTAAATATACTCCAAGTATTTTCAGAGCCATCTGTTAAAGCAGGCTAAAGCAATGTTCAAAAACGTCTAGCATTTCCAGATGAAATGGTGTTCAGCAAAGAAACTGATTGTTCTCTTCATAGATTTACTGAAGAAACACTGAATAACACAAGCAAAAATTTTAAAAATTTGGAGAATGGAAATATATTATACGTGTATCATTACAAAGGATCTTTAATTGTTAATCCAAGTAATGTATTTCTATGTGCTTTACATCACTGTAATCACGTACTTGGAATAAAAGTAATTCTGGAACAAAAATTATGTTTGTCCTCATAAAAACTTTGTGTCTCAAGTAGAAAAATAGATGATTTTTTTTTAAAAGAATAACAGTCACAGCAAGAGATAAGCATGCTTTCTCACATTCTTAATACTGGAATAGAAATTGAGTTTAAATTATTTAACAATGCTTTTAAAAGGTATGCATTAGAGCTAACAAATCAAGTTTTTATTCTATACTCCTGGAGGCTGAAGGACATTAATATTTTAGCTCTATTTTCCTTCTGATACATAAAATAACATGCCTGTTCTTTAATTCCCTGGAGATCCAGTAACTATTACACAAATATTAAATGTAGCTTGGAAAGCTAGCTGCTTTTGATATTTTAATCTTTATTTATATAGATTATATATTTTATTATTATATATATATAGGAAATCTCAAATATTGACTTTAAGACAATTATGCTGTTCCATAGCATAGAATCTCAGTGTTTACTGAAGAATGAAGTCACTACTACGTTAATTCGCTCATTAACAGCCAAACAAGTGAGCCAAATCACTTCAAAAATTCATGGGTGGCACAAATAAAAATTGTATGTGCTGATGAGAGTGTTTCAAATAATACAGACTGAAATGTATGTGTGTAATTCCTTAGGAAGATATTCCTTATAGCACTTTTTATACCAAGGTTATCTTTAAAACTATTTCCAGCTCTTGCAATTGAACTCAAGAAAAACAGAACAAAATAGACAAGATGGAAAATGTCGTAAGTTATTGTAACATGTAAGAGTTTGGTTCTTGGTAGACAGAAAGAGCAGAGGTCAAGAAGACAGAGAGAACGCTAAGTAGTAGATGATCAAACATTACAAGTGAGAGAAGTTTCTTCTTCCTCCCTTCCAGTTGCTTTTTTTCTGAGGAAATACTAACCAGTCTATACAAGAATGCTTCTCGAAATAATTCATCTGGTCTGACACATAATCCGTGTGAGTTTTCAAAGACATGTAACCCTTATTTTCATCCAAACAACTGACCCTACCAGCTCCAGAATTCCTATAATGGAAAAACAATCCTTACTTAATATCTAAGTGAGAAACTCACTCTTTTCTCAATTGAAATAATAGGTTGCACACATTTTCTTCTGTGTGGAAAAATCAAAATTGTGAAACATCTCACTCCACTTCTTCTGGCCTCAAAGGAAAATAAGAAAAAGAAGATAACATAGCTTGGCATTCCTAAAAGTGAGGAGGAAAAATATGTAATTAGAGTACTGCTTCATAAAAAAAACCTTAAAGTCTCTCTCATTGAAGGTAACTTCTGATAATACTTTGCATACACACACATGCACATTAACTAATTCTTATCAGAGACATCGGGAGAAAAAAACCATGACCTCAAAAATATCAGATTTACAAGGATTGGATTTGGCCTCAAGAGAATGAGTTCAACCTTCCTGCTAAAACAGGTACCCTACAATACATTGCACAGGTAGGTGTTCAGATGGGTCTTGATTATTTCCACAGCAGGAGATTCCATAACACCTCTGGGTAACAGTTTCAATATTTTGTCATCCTCATTGTAAAGATGTTCTTCTACATGCTAATATAGAACATCTTTTGTTCAAGTTTTAGGCCATTACTACTTTACCTATTGCTGCACATCACCAAAAAGAGCCTGGCCTCACCCATTTGCCTCCCACTTTCCCTTAGATATTTATAAACATTTATCAAATCCCCCCTCAGTTCTTTTCTCCAGGCTGAACAGACCTAGGTTACTCAGCCTATCCTCACATGGGATATGTTCCAGGCCCTTTATCATCTTTGTGGCCTTCCACTGGACTCCTTCTAGGAGATACCTGTCTTTTTGAACTAGGGATCCCAGGCCTGGACACAGTAGCCCAAAAGTGGCCTCACTAGGACAGAGTAGAGAGGGAGGATAACTTCCCTCAATCTGCCAGCCATGCTCTTTTTAATGGCCCCCAGGATACAACTTGGCCACAAGGGCACACCTCTGGCTCATGGCCAACCTCTTGTCCACCGGGACCTCCATGTCCTTCTCTGCAAAGCTGCTCTCCAGCAGGTCACCCCTTAACCTGCACAGATGCATGCAGTTGTTACTCCCCAGGCGCAACACTCTACACTTGCTCTTCTTAAACCTCATCATGTTCCTGCTTGCCCAACTCTCCAGTTCGTCCAAGTCTTATTGAATGGCAACCCAGCTTTGTATCATCAGCAAACCTGGGTTGACTCTATCCCTTCATCCAGATTGCTGACAAAGTTATTGAACAAGATCAGAGCTAGTGCTGCCCCCTGGGAAGCACAGCTAATTACTTCAACCAGACTCTTTGCTGCCAGAGACAACTCTCCAAGCTCCAAGTGCTGCCTGTGACAACAAGCTCCAAGATGGTCAGTCAGCCAGTTCCAAATTCATCTCAACATCTGCTTATCTATCCCATGTTTTTTAATACTTGTGCATTGTCTTCTTGCTCTGACCTTTGACAAGCAGATCCCAGTTCAGCCATGCTGGTCTCTTGCTTGACTTTTTTCCTGACTTGTTACACTTGGGGATAAAGACCTGAGGAAAACCTCTTTAAAGATCTGCCAGTTCTGCTGTTCCCAGGACACTTTATTCACTAACTCCCTGAAGAGCTGGAAGATAGCTTTCCTAAAATTTAGGATCCTAATTTTACTCTTCACCTGTCTCATATCCCTCTTGTGTAATTGACAAGCATACAGAGAACTTAGGCTAGTCTTTAAAGAGCATATAGATGAAAATATTAGCACACTGGAAAGGGATAATCAGAAATGAATGCAAAAGCTTACCTGTATCCTAAGCTTGCAGGAAAAACTCCAAGAGAAGCAATTGCCAGAGAAAGACCCTTCATTAGTGGCAGTCAGCCCTTATATGGGGAAGCCCCCTTATAAGGGGACCACCCTTTCTGGTCACACAGCTGAATTGCCTTCACCTGTGCTCCTGTGACTGATTCATTGCTTGCCTCAGGTGATCAGGGGTTCAGGCTGTGATTCAATAGTTCCCATACACATCTGGAGCATGAACTCAACCATAGCACGGTCACTACAGCTCAGGCAGCCTCCAATCCTTATATCACTAGTCAATTTATTTTCATTGGTGAGCAACAAATCCAGTATTGCTTCCCCTCTGGTGGGGCCATCTATTACCTGAATCAGTTATTATCTATGCATTGCAGGAACCTCCTGGATTGCTTAAAGCTCACTCTGCTACTTTTCCAGCAGATTTCTGGGTGGTTGAAGTCTCCCAGCAGGAAGAGTGCTTGTAATCACAATGCCTCCTTGTAGCTGGAGGTAGAAGGCTTCATCAACAGGCTTTGCTTGGCCTGTAGTAGACACCAATCACAAGGTCCTCTCTCCTGCCTCAGTCTCTAATTGTAACCCATAGGCTTTCAACTTATTCATGACTATTCTTTACAGATAGCTCTTCACATTCTATTCCTTCTCTCCCACTGAGAAAGGCAAAACCCCATCCTGTGCCCCCATACTCAATGCCATGTGGTTGTCAGAAAATAAACAAAGTTCTGGCAACAGCACAAACCACAGAGATAGGTATTTAAATATAAAATCCTTTGATTTCTTTCTATGTTCTTACCAAACAGGAAACAGAGAGGAAAAGATTATTTGTGCGTTTAGATCCTTCAGCCATCATTTCCAGGCCCTATCAAAATAGTCTGACATTAGCAAATTGAACTATGTCCTGAAAGACTTCTTCTTACAGGGAGAAATAGAACCTTTGAAATCACAAGAAAGACTTTTGTTGGCCTCTGCAAAGTCCATGGAGAGTAAGCCTCCAGCTGCCATGTAAATGAAGAAAACCAAATCACAATGATAAACTGACATTAACAGCTGCGCAATGTTTGCAAGTGTTATTTGCTCTTTTAAGCCAAATTTTTGTGATTTTTATATAAAATTGTAACGTGTGTGAATAAACAACTCTTTAATGATAAATCCTTTTATTGTTATAAATGACAGAACGCATATTTCATGCTGATATATGACCTGGTGAAACAAGAGTTTTATCATCATTTGTTTCAGCCACATGTTCTCATTCACAATATTGCTTACAGAACTAAAAAATATTTATCTTATGGGTTATAATGTTGTTTTATAGAAGATTCCACAGCATTACATGATGCTAACGGGGCAAAATCATAACAAAAATATCATACCCTCTTTGCTAAATCTTCTCACAACTCTGGAACTAAAATCTTTCTGAAGTTCTGCTTACTTGAGTTTCTCAATCACGTCATTTGTTTCTCTACAGAGAAGGAAAGAGACAGAGAGAAAGGAGGACATGCAAAGACAGAAAGGAAGACAGGAGGAAAAAGAAAAGGTGCTGGGCTATTTACTTCCATTCCAGGTGTTTTTCTTTTTGTATTTGTTGGGGACTTCAGATCCCCGTCATAAGAGGCATTTCTTAGATGTTCCAGAGTGTATAAAGTCTACACTTAAGACTTTTAAGAAGTAGTAGTTCAATCCTTTTCTAGATAGTAAGCTCTCTATTTGCATGTACCTTCAAGTTGCCACCAGCTCACTGACTCTTCAGGCACCAGCTAAGAACTGATGGTAATAGTGGACCTCTTCAAATCAAAACATAAGAGATTCTCTCTGAACATCAGGAGCATTTTTGTGCTGTGTGAGTGACTGAGCACTGCTGGACGTCACCCTGAGCAGTTGTGGCATCTCCTACTTGGAGATTTTCACAAGCAGTCTGGATGCGTTCCTCACCTATCCTTCTCCTTCCAATCTCAGCTATTCTGTGATTCTGTGATCAAGGAAAGAATGAAAGAAAGACAGCTCCCCTGGATAGCTGTGCAGCTTTGCACATAGAAGTCTGTAACTGTAGAAGTTCTTCTCTAAGCTTAATGGGGTCCTACTAACATAGTGCATGCAGTTATTGCACACTACACTCCCCTTCTCCTCGAACTTCCAATGGCCCCAACATCTGCTAGAAACTCTGCTCTGACTGCAGAGATAACTGGCAAGTTATGTATCCACCAGGTGCTAGGAAGCTTACAAATGACTAAGATGAAATAAAGCAAGTAGAACTGAATGAATACACAGCTGCTCTTATAGTGACAGTCACCTGGTCCTGTAGTTCCTTACTTTTCACCGAGAGAAGGTTGAAGTCCCCAGGTACCCCAGGAGTGTTCAGGGCTAATCTCCATTTCTCCTTTTCCCTCTCACCACACTCAGGACCCATGAGGAAAATGGAGGTTAGCTAACCATTTTTGGAGAGACAAAGGGGAGGAAGGAGGATACTTCAGACCCTGAAGATGTCACCTCTTGATCTGTACATAAACACCCAGTTATTGGAAGGCTGGCATGCATCTATGACAGTCTCTGATGCAAAAGGTATTTTTCAGCACAAAAACAGAAACACACAGTGTCTTTGATTACCAATGCTTATCTAGTACTTCATTAAACAATGATATTAATATTTATAACAGTGATTCATGGCTTTGCAAATCAACATTTTGAGGTAAGTCACTGAAGATGGGCTATTTTTTTCCTTAGCTCCTTTGCAAGAAGATATTGTCTAAACAAAGGAGTGCAGTGTTAACTTCTGAAATATTGTTGTTCTTGGACATAAGGAGACAACAGGATATAATGAAGCTAATTCTGTCCCCAGGCATAAATGAATAAAAAAAAAGAGGAAGGAAAAAACTACCAAAAAATAACTAGCAGACCATAAGACTGAGAATCTCACTCCCACAATATACCCAAGACTAACTGCACGATATGGCAATTAAGTCAAGTAATACAGTAATTTAACACTCAATAATCTCAATCAATCAATCATTCTGCCCTTGGCAAAGATCTTTGTTGCATGCTTGGTTGTTGTTTTTGCAGTTGTTGTTCATTTGGTTTTTTTTGTTTTGCTTTTTTTTTTCACCAAAAAAGTAGTACAGAAGCAAAACTTAGACTATATTTTGCCTTTTTTTTTTTCCTTTTTCACTCTTAAGACTTGTTCTGTAGATCCCAGGTGCACAATTTGTAAACCTTAAAGAGATGTTCTGTTCTGATAAAGAACCACAAAGGAGCATAAATTAAAACTGACACTGAATAAAAGGTGAACAAAGACAAATCATAGCAAATAGAAATATATTCCTTTGAAATTTCCACAAACTCGAATAAAACTATTTATAAAAAATCACTTTTATTTCATATTTATGACAACTTGAAAAGAATTGATTAAATCTGATAAATTAAACTGACTAAACTGAATTTTTTAAGGTATTCAGGTACCTTAGGACACAAAAAAAATATCTTCAGGATGGATTCTTGTTCATTTACACTTCTGCAAATTTTAAAAATCTGAACTGACAGTACAGACATACACAATCTCATTTACATCCTTAACTGATTTGTATCCTTGATTCTTTCAATGTCATCAACAGGATTAACCACGTCTGTGTAAGACAAATATTTTTCTTCGATGTTATAACACATTTAAAATCAAAGACTTCTTTAAGACAGATCTAAAGATGTTATCTTCAATATATTTAATGTTACTCTTAACTATTACATAAAATAGATTTTAAAAATCCATTATTTTTATACTTTGTACAGTTTCATATCTAGGAATGAATTTCAGGAGTTTCAGGTGTAGACTGGGAGAGATGGTGACATGATAATGGTTATACAATTACATTCTTAGTTTGGATTTTCATTCAATCACAAGTGTTCTGTAGTTAGAGTTTTGGGAAAAACAAACAGATACCTCAACATTGACAAATAGAAACAAATGAACTGATAGCACTATTATATACTCAAGGCTTGTCTTTTAATCTGTTACAGAGCTGTCCCTGAATCTTCTGAGTTCCCAAAACCTTGAAGGTGCCTTTGCTGTGTCAGGGTCCTTCCTCACAGTGCTGTTCAGCCATATGCTGACTGAATGTGCAACAGTATTGCAGACAGAAAAAAAAATACTTAAAGTAAATAAATAAATAAATATAATAAATAATAAAACAAAACCAATTATTTTTGCAGTGGATTTTTAAAATCATCACTTCTTCAAAGAAAAACATACTATACCAGTTCAGTGATTGAATACTATTCCTAATGACTATTTTCAATGGCAGGAAATAGAAAAATAGGTAAGAATAAGATTATTGTTAATTATTCCTGAATGGTTAGATACTAGCTGTATAACTGAATGCCAATCAGCACTCAGTCTAGTGCCACTAGTGCACATAGGAAATATCAACATAGTGAAGAATATAAATGTGCAAATTATTAAAAATTAAATGCATATATGCTTTACACTTACACTTTACTTTCTTCTATACTACACCTAAAGAACAAACAGATTCTGAGCAATTATTTCATAGTTCTCTCCAAATGTGTCTATTATAAAGTTAAAGACAGAGAAGAAGAGAGAGAGGGAAAAAGGAATTTTGATCAAATTTCCTAACTGCTAAGTATTACCTATTACTAGGCCATGACATGTTTTATTCAATGAAAAGACCAGCTCCACATCTGTAAACCTGTCTGCATGAATGCTAACAGCTGGATGGTAAAATAGAAAGGAGGAGAAGAGGTGAGCAGCTCAGACTTCTTTCAGTTGTTTATGCACACAAATGCAGCAGCCGAAGGGCCTGATCCAGTATTTAAGTATGTCTGCAGTATTTCGGATTGCTCTCCATACAGCATGCTAGGAAGAGCAGTTCTGGGGCACCGTAACAAGCTCAGTACCTGTCCTGAGCACTAGAAACAGAACGTGAAAGGATGGTAGAAAAGAAATTGTATAACCATCTCTGATTCATTTGCTTGGAGGAAACAGCTGTTTTTTAACAAAACAGCTCATGTGTTTTCTTGTGGCCAGTTCAGTGTTTTTCTTCTTCTCTC